GACTTGATACGATATCGGTCTGTGGGCTGAATGATGCCATGTTCTGTGAGTAGGCATTTTTCCTCAACCATAGAAGACATCTCAGTTTCGGACTGTCTGTACCCATCACTCAGCATTTCGACTTTATTCCCCTTACATATCAGCTCACATGGTTTACAAGCTGATGAAAGGCAACCCTTCAACTAGGTAAATTCGCAAATATTGCCTTTGAAAAGACAGCACTGTAAATCTCAGTGACAGACCTGTATTTTGAAGTCTTTCAGCAGAATATTATTCAAGACCCAAACTGTGCAGGTGTCATTGCTGTTGTAACTGAGATGTGGGCTCCTAAGGAATGGGAATGAAGCATCCTTTACAGTATTGCTGATCTCACTCAGGTATTTCCCAATGCCTGCCTAAATGCATAGAGAGATTAGGGCCTAGAAAGGGCCTCATCTTGCAAATTGTTACACAGGATTTTTATGACTGTCACTATTAGAGAGATTAGTTTCCAGCTTAATTTTTTGGAATTCTCTGGAATGGTCATCAGTTAAACATCGCCCAAGCCATGATGTTGCTTGCTTTGCTTCTGAGCATGCACTTTGAGAGTGCTTCTGAGAACACTTTGCATGAGCCACCCAAAAGTTAATCTAGTTTAAATTGGCTGTCTGGGCATTATTTGTAGCTAATGAAGTAAGGTGAGACAGTTCCAGGAGAGAGAGGACAGGGACACAGATAATTAATTCCATCTACAAATTAATTCCATCTCCAAATAGGCATTTAAGCTAGGTCAGTTGAATTGCTTCCTGAAGGTGACTGTCTCTATCTATAGACTGTATTGAGAACTATATTAGATAGTTTAGATTAGATACCTACTTTTTAGGTGGCTGAAGTCAGGATGGGGAAACCTCATCCTCGAATCACATCTTAACAAAAAAAAAAAAAAAAAGGTGTCCACAGTTTAGATACTAAAGCTAACTTTCAGGGATGCCATTCCTTGTAGCATGTGCCCAGGCTCCCTGTACCCAGCATGGGGAAAGTTGGTTATCTTTGAAGAACCTGCATGCTGAGATCAGGACTACTTGGAGCACAGAAAAGAGAAGCACTATGCTCAGCAGGGCACCTCATCTCACCTGCAACCTGCACCTTTTCTGAGATCTTTGAGCTTATGATACCTGCATGGCACTGTTTTTTTTAGGACTTGTTGAACATGTGCTTACTGACTGTAATTTGTGTGCTTTTACAGTCATGTGAGAGGTAAAAGGCTGCAGCATATAACCCATAAACGCTTCTGGAGGAGGAGAAGTAGCTAGACACCGTACTCTACTGATTCAAGCTTTCAGCTAGGTGATTTTAGGATGTGCTTTTTACATCTAGATCTGCCAGTGCATTTTGGGAAACAGTCACCAGATAGAAGAATAAGTATTTTGGAAGAGAATCTGAAAATCCTTTCCTCCCAGCTAAACAGATGAACTACCTGACTGCAGTCTCTCTTTTTGTGGCTCCCTCTCAGATATATGCTGTGACACTTGTATTTTGGTCAGAGCACAAAAAAATGGAAGGGGTGAAAAGTTCATCCTTCATTTTACTGTGCAGACATACAGGCAAAGAAGCATGAGGAGCTGCAGGTGCAGCCTAGATTCTGGGTTCTGCTGCATGCATGCATTTTAAAAATAAATTACTTGGTCATTGAATATGAAGGCTGCCAGATTCCTTGAGAATAATACAAAGAGCAGGGGACAGACTCCAAAGTAACCCTTTGCAAAATACCAAAAAATGTCCAGACTACGCTTTCATGTTGACCTCTGACAAAAACATATTTAGCTGCAGGAAGAAGAGAGAAGAAGTATAACATTTTAAATTAGGTAGTATAAAAATAGCTGGAGGATTTACTGCATTTAGATATTTCTCTAAGTTTAATAAACAGCTCTGAAGCATTTAATAAGAGCCAGAAAATAGGCAGGAGAAGCACAACTAATCTTGCTAAATGTAAAATAGCAGCTATGTGGAAAGTTTTTGTTCTTAAATTCCCGCTGATTAGAAACAGAATAGTTGTTTAAGGGAGCTTTGGAAACTAGAAGGTAAGTGACATTTGTCCTTGATCTGAAATGCTTAAACATACAGTACTGTTGGTACAGCTGAACTGTGACCTTCCAGCCTGCCAATCCAGATAAACACACATATTATCAGGTAAATCAAGCAGAAATAAAATTTCCTGAGAAGACTGCTGAAGCCCCACTCCTAGGAAATGATGATTATTAACTCATTAAATTCTGTCTCTCTCTATCTTTTTGTACGTGACTTCTCCACACAGCTGTAAGGGTAATTAGTTTCCTTTGACTTAGTGAGTATTAAGGAGTATTAATATGCTTAGTTTATAAGGACAACAAACATATTCAAGGACCAGGAAAAAAACAACAATGCAGGCAAGCCCTTCAGTCTTTAGTTTGACAGACTCCTGATTCCAGGATAGATATGATGGGTTTGTTGTGCTTGGTTTTATTATGTCAGATGGATTTGTGATAAATGCCACTAACTTCATCTGGTGAGTGGATTTGTCTAGGCAGACCCAGATTAAAGGGTCAGTATCCTGTTTTGAATTAGATTTTAATAATGCAGACATGTATATGCACCCTGTTAGACTTGCAATAGTTTTCATGCAAAGAAAAAAGATGCTGTACGTTAAGGATACCTACATCATTAAATGGCTCTTGCAGGTTACCATATTTATGTGGTGAGATGGTTAATATAAAGTCACTGTCACTGCCTCATGTCCTGCCCCCAAACTAATATGGTCAAGTGGCACTGTGGTCCATAGAGCATTGTAATCCTGTACACTTCAAAGTTGTTTCTAGACTGTTCACTGTTACAGGGCTCTCCCCAGCCCAGAACAAGGATAGTTCAAAACTAATTTGAGGGTACGTTCAGCTGTTCCTCTGCCAGCAACAGGAAAAGAGCAGTGGATCTGGGCCAGTGTTTTTTGGAGTAAGTGCTGCCTGATGCTGTTAGGAAGGAGAAAGGTCTTATTTGTCAAATAGGGCTTAATTTATTGTGTACAATGTGAAAGCTTAGATTTTTGTATTGTGAAGAGAGACAACAGACACACAATGTTCAGCTTTGTAATTTATTATTTCAAAGAAACAAAAGATATGACATGTACCTGACCAAAATACTTTATTAAACAGATATGAAGACTGGAAGTTCATATTAATGTGTTGGATAGGAAAGGGCTTGTTAGGACTTAGCCATTACCAACAGCAAACATTTAAAAAACCCTGAACTTGATAGATAAGACCATTAAAAAATTACAGGAAAGCTGCAATTGATAGCAAAATGTAGGAAGTTCCATGTTGATAATAACTTAAAAAAGAAATTTGAGAATAGAAAGATTAGGTTAACATCACTAAAACAACTTCAGTAGTTCCTGGGAAGAGTATAAACTCCAAGTCAGATCTTCATCAAAAACAGTCTTAGGGAAAAAAAGAAGTGTACAGGCTCTTCTATTTCTTAATTAAACATTACATTGTAGAAGCAGTCCTATCCCCCCTTACAAAGATTCCACGTGGCAAATATATTATACAGATGGCCTCAGAGTTGGTTCTGATGTGTCATGTATACAAAATCCTTTGGGTTTGGAACATGGACATACTGCATAAATATGAAAAACGAAGCTCAAGAGGAATCATGCTTTCCAGATATGTTTATTTCGCTGCTAGGCAGGAGAAGGATTGTCAAGTAGCAAAACATCCTCTTTAGTTTTTAAATCAGGAAAGCCTTATGTCTGCATGCATGATATACATGTTATTTCATAAATCAGACAATTGTATGAACAACATTACAGAAGATAGGGAATAATAAAACAAGAATCAGAAGTACAGGAGATGCTGTTCATTTCATGGAATGATTGCTAAAGCAAATGCAATATAGTTCATTATGACTACAGGGGTGCAGAACAGTCAGTACATGAGGTTTATTGAATAGCATCTTCTGATTTGGCAAACATTGGAGATCTCCCTCTAGATTGTCTACTGTGGTTCCTCTCCCTGCAGTCCTTCACCAGCAGGAGGCCAAGGACTCCCGCTCTGTTTGTTCGCCTCCTTCCTGTGCCCTACCTTCTCTTTCAAGTGAAAGTTCCAATTGGAGAACTCACTGCAGTATTACTTTCCTTCTGAACCATTCTTGACAGCTCACCAAATCTGGCACCATTCTCTGATTCCCCATTTTGTATATGATTTCATAGTTTAGAAGAATTCTCCAAAGCTTTTATAAGCGCCACAACATTCCCTTGCCAAAGGGGACAGGTTGTTAGAACCTGACCTTGAAGACTTTGAATATTTCTGAGACCAGATTTTGTACCCCAGTTGAAGGAGTTCTGCAGTGTCTCTACACAGGCAGTTCCGCTCACTCCCATTTTTGCTTCATGGCTCTGTCTGCAGATCAGCCACATTGCATGCATGCTAGTTTGCTCTCAGGCGCCTTTCTGGGCTGCACCAACTAGTTCCCTCATGGAGAATCCTGGACACAGCTGACAGGATAGTTTGCTAAGGGGTCTAGCATGGATGTGCACACTGCCAAGTTTGACTCCCTCTGACCTGGACTGTCCTCTAACATAGTCCCAAAAGGCTTGGCGCCATCATACATACCTTTGTGTCACACGATACACATGCTTGGGTATCGTGCTAGAAAACACTGCTCTGATGGGCTGCAACACAGTGATCTCTTTATTTCAAGCTCTTCAAATTCAAAAGAAACATAAAGAATAATTGTATTCAAGTCATCACATGGGATCTAGAGTGTGTTGGGCCAAGCTCTATATGGGGTAGGTCAGTGCGTACTAGCATTGAGCAGCCTGGACCTGAACCAGTCAGTACCACAGCTGAGCAGCCAGGTCCTCTCACTGTTGCAACCACAGAATCAACATAGACCCAGCTAAAACTGTAGCTTTCAAATAGGTATCTAATAGTCACTGAGTGCTTGCTTAATCATGCTTTAAGCTTTTCTTGGTGTTTTTACCTTTTCAGAACCTGAGGCGGGAGAGGTGTCCCCTCCAGTGGGAGCTGGTGTGAACAGCAACAGCTGGACCTTTAAATTTGGACCGGGCAATCCCAAACAAAGTGGTCCTGGTGAGTTGCCAGACAAATTCATTATCCCGGGATCTCCTGCAATCATCTCCATCCGGCAGGAGCCGCCAAACAGCCAAATTGACAAAAGTGACTTCATTACCTTTGGCAAGAAGGAGGAGACCAAGAAAAAGAAGAAAAAGAAGAAGGGAAACAAGACTCAGGAGAAAAAAGAAAAGGGGAACAGCACCACTGAGAACAGTGACCAGTGAGGGCTTATACTCAAAGAACCCACTTAGCCAGTTTTTGTAATAATGGCAGATTTCTCCTATGTAGCAACTCCCAACTTCTTCCTACTGTTAACAAATTTCCTGTATGTACAGACTTCAGAAAATCAGCAGGAAATTCACAGTGTCTGTCTAAATTGCTTAACAGGTTTTGTCTTAAAAGCTTTATTAAGTCTGGTGTTAACTCTTTTTCTCCACTCTGGCTTGTTTTCAGAATCTAAAAAGCAGACACAAGTTTCCTTTCTCCTACGCCGAAAAGGAGAATCTTCACAGTACAGCCAGTGAGAGGTTGGACTCTCTGCACTGTGGTTCCTGTGCTCCTGTCTTGATGACACTTATAGACAGGTTTAAAAGTTTTAATATTGTGCAGCCTATACCTGATTGGAAATATGTGTGCAGATGTCAGCTAGGTGATGTAAGCTCAGATCATAAGACGCAAGAAGAGCTGGTAAATATGCAACAGAGGAAACACCTAATGAATAAAAATGTTCTAAGATGTTCGGGCTGAGGAGGAAATGTCTGAAAGGAGATGACCAGACTTTTCAAATCCAGAGAAGTGTGGGAATACTGAATCCTGTACATTACGTATTGTACACACGCCTGCAAATAAAACCTCACATTTACAGCTCTTTAAGATACCATAAATTATATCTCTTACCAAGCCATTAGGAATATTGTCCCTTAAAGCCCTGCATTACCCTGGCAAGGCTAGCCCTCAGAGTGTAAGAAGGACAGGGCTAACATCCCAGGAATGTAACTGACTGTGATGCTCTGTGTCCCTGTTTCCACTCTAACATTATTTTGCACATTATGTCTCTGAAAAGGTCAGAGGTTTTCCATGACACATATGCAAAAGAGAGAGAAAAGAAACATGTTAACTATGCTATTTGTTATTTGAGATATTTATTTATAAAGAAATATAGCTGTAAATGTTAAAAAAATGCCCTTTAACCCAAACAGAAGTCAGACTAGAGCCATTATAAATTAAATTGCTGCTATTCAAGTGCTTTAGAAAAATTGCCTGAAACATCTGTATTATATCGGCCACTTGCCAATAACAGCTTTATTCTGTCGGGTCACTTGGGGCTGCCTCTTGCATGTATTAATAAATACAATAGGTTTTTTTTTTCTTTGCATTAATATGCACTTTGAATACACATTTGCAAACAAACTGTCCTAATATGATGAAACAAAAGCAATTCCTCACACAAATGGATTTACTAACCTGCTAGCTCTGTGCAGTACCTTGGTGTTACCGCCCACACACCCTTTTCTGATTTTAGCTTTACTTTTATATGAGATTATGAATTGCTGACCCTACTAACACTCATTATGTAAAATTCAAGTACTGTATGTATGCTGTATGCGCTTATAAGAATCCTGAAATATTTATTCTGTGCTTGTGTATGTGAATGTCAATGCAACTATTATTAGGGTGGACTTTAAGCTTTACTGTTGAATGTAAATCCATTATTTCTTTTTTGTACACTTGTGAAAAGGTGGAGTAGTGTTAATTTTTTAAGCCACTGTTGATTATCAGTTTTTGTGTATGAAACACAAGTAAAATATCTTTCTTAAATCAAGACATGCATGCATTTTGGGATTTATTGGTAAAAGTCAGTGAAGCTAAAGCCCTATGAACTACTAAACCTAGTGGTATAAATGGAGTATTGACTGTGACTGAGGACGTGGATATAAAACAAATACATGTATTTTTAAAGAAAACAGAGGTGATGAGGGAATTCCAAGGAGTTTTCTACATTATTTTACATTCACAAAATAGAGCTCAAGTGTCATATTAATTGAAAATGTTTAAGAAACTGCACAGCTCTGAAATTTCTAACAGTCCTTTTAATTGGGGATCAAAGAGAACAACTGAATTTCTTGAGGCATGTCCTGCACGTTTTAAGCTCTCAAACTGCTGACAGTTCAGAATAGGTCAATTACCATTCATTTTAAAAATCTGCAGTAAGTCTTAAGACATCACAGAAGGTAAGGCTTTAATAAAAGAACTTCGTATCTCAAAGCATGAACTTTATGAACCACAAATGGTCTAATGTGGTTTATTTAAAATTTTCTTTTGCTACCAATCTCGTATTACTGGCAATAAAAGAGACCGCGCTAGTTGAGAAAGAAACTCATTGATTCAGTTTTACAGGCTCACCCAAAGCAAAAAGCATAAGGGGTGAGGGTGAGAGGTGGTGGTGGGGGGGCATTAATTTTTCGGCCTTGCAAATAGTATGCATGCAAGTGTCCTGTGTAAGTACATTTAACTCCTTTTTCCATTTGGTGATCTAAAGCAAGAGTTCCCAACATGTTCATAAACTGGAGTTACAATGTTAACTAACACATAAGAGGATGCTGCTGTGTTGTACTAGAGCTCAGAAAGTAGTTCTCGTCAATGCCTCTGGCAAAAACGCGCAATACAGATGTAACTCTTACAGGAATCTTTAACGTTGGATCTCTTTTTGCTTTAATTGAATAAATGGACCAAAAGTAGAAGAGAGCGGAGGAAAAGTAATAAAAATTTGCACCTATTAAGTAATTTTTTTTTGTTTGTATGTTTTACCCTAGTTTTCAATATTTTTGTTAGCGGTCTTGTCTTTCCACCTTTTGTCTTTTGGGGTGCTTGTATTTTCCTCTATACAGGCCAGTCTGATTCTTCCATTTTTCATCAGTGTTCCTACCTAACTGGTTTGAAGGCTTTCTTCAGTCAGAACAAGTGAAGAGCTGCAGCATGTCTCTGATTTGCCTGCTTTAATATGAAATTACATTTGTCAATGCTGGCATTGATGCAGATGCTTACTGCAGGAGGTCTAAAGTAGGAAAGGTCAGATGGCCTGGTAAAGAAAAGCAGAATACATGAAGACAAGCATTCCTGTATGGAGGTCTGACAGAACAGAGAACAAACTCCTAGAGGAGAGAGCTGGAAATGCTCTTGCTGGAATTATTTAATAGGGCTGGACTGCAGCAGTGAAATATATGTTACACAGATTCACTCTGTATGTTCAGGAGGCTGAATCAGATGCCCTATCAGACTTTTTGAAGATTTTCCATCTTTGAACCCTCTAGTACAACTGGAATACTGAGATATCTGAAGTGAAATTTGGTTATTTCAAAACTGGTATACAAATAATACCATTGTCATCCTCAGTTTTGGATGTCCAGGAGGAGGAGAAAAATGTGATTTATTGAATGAATTATTTTTGGAGGACTGTGGGCTGGAGGTCAGAGTTTGGGTAACACATTCTGCCAGGCAGTTTGGGGATTTATTATTTAAATACTGCCCAACAATGAGAATCAAAAATCAGAGGTGGCCAAGACCAACAGTAATCAAGAAATAATAGTTTCTTTTTTCCTCTTGCTGATAACAAAATGAGCAAGACAAAAGTATATTCCAGAATTTGTTAAAAAGGAAAACAGGATTTGTTTTTTGTTTCTTTGTTTTTTACCAGTTGAATCCACAATGTTATAAACTGTGAGTATATTGGTTTTGGAAGTGTGTTTTTAATGCATAAAAGGCCAGTGGCCACAATCAATGGATTTTTGCAACAGTTAAGACTGAGTTATGTTGCATATTAATTACATCATGTCATTATGAAGATAGATCATTTTATATTAGACTTGTAAGACATAGTCTTGTATAGTTTCTTTCTGCTCTGTATTTAGGTCAGGACATTATAGGACAGCCAATTAAAGTTTCCCACTGATCTTATGTAAGAGGAAGAATATAGCACCTAAAATACATTTCCCAAATTCCATGCAAAAAAATCCATTATGGAATTAATTGCAATCAGCTTTGATATCTTTTAGGATCATCTTTAATTTTCCCTTCCTCTTCATTCCTGTTATATATCTGAAGAACCACTTCCATTTTTGCAAGAACCTGTTAGGTTGTTAATAGCCTTTCTCTCCAGGAGATATGAGAGTAAGCTACCTTTATAGAACAGTGCTTATGAGTACATGATAAATTAACTACAATTTATATAGCATACATAATTCATATTGGTCAGACCTGTCCATTTTGAGGCTTAAAAGTCTTAAAGTTCCTGTAAATAGTGTTTCCTCTAGGAAACCTGCTCATTTTATTAGCTCCCTAATCTGTATATAACATATTTAGGTACCAAATGAGCCCATGATTCTTCCTGCTTATTCCACCAAGAACTTCAGTTAGAAAGAGTTTTCTGTACTTGTAAAATTGCCTGTTCTCTAATTGTAATTGCATTCTCAAAATGTAAAGTCAATTATTGCCTTTCTTTTACACATTTAGCCTTGCTTATGTTAGTTCAGGTTGTAGCCAAGCTTATGTCAACAACTAGGTAAAGTAAACTGTATACAACCTTCCTTCCTGTATCCCATTCTCACCTAGCAGCAGTTTTGTGGATCCCCTGTAAGACAAGCACTCAGGAAGGCACTCAGCCATTCTCCTTTTTTGAGTCCTAAGGAATTAGTAGATTCCTTGGTTTTGCTGTTACTCAGTTACTACTGGCTGTTCCTTGACAAAGAACACTACTTCTGTAAGATGGTGCCAAGAGTCCAGTCTTCTCTTAAGGCCCCTCTAAATCATTTTGATCAACAGGCTGGCTTTAATGATTAAGTGTATACTGAAGTCTTTCATTTTTTCCTTCAAATCTCTCTGAAGGAGAAATGACTGAACAGCTGAACAGCGTTTTGATATCATATATAGTTTAATTTGCATGAAGCAATTGCACTCCCTGGAATGCATAGTATAGGCTGAGGACTCCAAGCAATGCCTTAATAGATCGTGTATATGCAGGGTTTGATATGGTGGCTGGTATATATTAGGTCCTGTATGATGTTCACATGTGCCTGAATGGCTAGCTTTGCACATGCACACAACAGATTGGCCATGTTCGGAGTGCGTAGTGTAGCCGTAGCAAAATAACTGCTGTGATCATGACCTTGTGCTGCTTAAACCAACATACTGGAAAATCAATATAGCTGGCATATAAATCAGCTTTCCCTTAGCTGTTGGTATGAGGATGTCACACTCCTGACTCTCCTGAGTTCTTTCTCCTCTCTATGGTGTCCATCTCTCATTAGATGATCCACTGGCACTGACGAGCATTTGTGGATGTGTGTATATCTGTATATATTTTGCAACATGATTGTGTTATTGTACAGGAGACTGAAACACCTACTGCTAGTGAGAATACTGCCCAGGTAAAGCCCATTATGAAAATCTCATTTTTTAGGGTGATGCTCTAAATTATCTACCTACTTCTGGAATATTTGTTCGTTTTTCTTTGGCTGGCTTAGAGAACTAATGAAGAATCCTTCAGTGTGAACTACCAGAGAATGATGAAAAAGGCACATCTTATATCGCACTATAGATTCCCTTTCACATCCTCAAACTGCCCTGATGCAATGACTCTGACATTGAGGTTTTAACATCAAAACATGACAGAGATGTTGTGAAGTAATCATCTCTCATAATTCACACCGTTTGACTGCTATTAAAAATGTTTACCTGACAGTGGTGTCCAGAGCCGTGTAACTGTTGTCTGAATAAAGATAACAAGTAACTCACCAGCATTTAGGTGCTGATGTCTAGAGTGTATTATAATACAAACATGCTAGGCTTGAAAATCAGATTTCCAGACCAGGGCCCTGACAAAGAATTAGGGTGTTAAATTAACCTTCATACAAGGTACAGCAGCCATAAGTTTGTTGTCACTCTTACCATTCAATTCAGTTGTACCTCAGCTTAATGAGCTACAAGGGGAAGAAGGGTTGTGTGAAGACACCTTAATATGCTAGCATGTGGGAAACGTTACCTCACAGCGATATCATTGGGATAAGGCATTTACATCCAGCATTGGGCCTACCTACAGGGTATTCTGTTATGCGAAGGCTGAAAGCCCTTTTCACCAGTGTGCTAAGCAGAGACCTCATTCCAGCATGATGACCCAATGAGCACGACAAACAGCTGTATCTGAAATGAAAGATTTCAGCATGCGAGAGGACAACAACAATTCACTGCCAATGAGGGATACAGCAGTGCAAGAGCATGAATATCACCTGAGGCTTGTACTGAATGTGAGCTCCCAAAAAGTTGCCCTGTGAGCTTGTCAAAGGGTATTGCATCAGTGACAGAGTACTACACACAATTTCAGGCTTCAACACTGAGATGGGATAATGTTAGAGCTGGCCCTAGTGACCATGTTTCAGCTGAGTTCTTGCTATTAGAAAAATCCTTTTGTGATACTTTATGGAAGCTTGGCACCACTTGAGCATCACGGAGGAGAATTAGCAAGTTCTTGCCCATTAATTTTAGGAAAGGTACTGCACAGAAAACACGACAAGACACAGCAGTTATTAAAACAAATCAATCACAGCCACTCTAGACTTGAATCCTGTAAGAGTTTTCCAGTTATAATAAATCCTTCTCCTTTGCCGAGACTCAAATTCCCCTCAGTGTAGTCTCAGTGGGAAAAATGTGGGAGGAGGAATAGATAAAAATTGTGTTCAGATGGCATGGACCCTATGCCATAATTAAGCCTCCAGTGCATCATAGCCCTACTTGAGGAGCGGAAGAATCACTTTCTCTCTTCAAAAATTT